TCCAAAGAATCGGCGAAAAAAGGCCGATGCCGATGCCGATGCCGATGCTTAAATTTGTGCAGATACTAGCCGATGCCGATGCCGATGCCGATTAATCGGTCGGACTTTAGCCACTTCTGCACTCATGGCCTCATATATATAGCAAGTAGCTTGCCAATGGTGAACAGATGCTGCAAACTTCAGTGGAACCTTGAACCGAAACTGCCTGAATAGTTCACTAAGCATCTCTCTTTCTTTTGCTTGACGTTAACGTTATAGTTTGCCAAATTGTTATCGCCTAAAAGTTCTAGGTATGTATGCACATACATACTACGTTAGGGTGATCCAAGAAAAAGTAAAGTTGGAATTTTAATGCCGTCATTTACATAGGAACACAAAAATTTCGCAAGTTTTTTTATTTTGAAATCAAAGAATATTTAGAGGTCGCTCAAAGTTTTTATAAAAAAGTTTATACAAAAAAAAAAACAATTTTTCGTAGAAATTGTATAAAAATTAATATCAAAAATGGTTAAACACACAATTGAGTATTATTGCTAGAAATCTCCTTAAGAAAAACAGGGTTTTCCGATCGAATAATATTGCTTTTAAAGATTTTTTTCCTACATAAAATACGTTCGTTGTATGCGCTTTGAGCGACCTCTAAAAAATTTTCGAAATAACAAGTAAAATAGTCTAAGTTCGGGCGAATACCCGGCGCAAGTATTAAATATAGTTTTTTTCACCTTTCCGATTACCCCGATTTCAAATATCTTCTATAAACTTACATAGTTATATGTGGGCGGTATCACGCCTATTTTTTAAAATTCCATAATAATGTTACTTCTTTTCTAGTGTTAATTGTTATTATCGATTTTGAGTAAATTAGCGTCCTTAAATTTCGAAATCATTTCTGAAATTTACTGTTTTATGAAAAGTGGGCGTAATTTTAGTCCGATTTAAATAATTTTCAACGTTTTGCTTTTATGTGACAAGCACAATAACCATACTGAGTTTGGTACAAATTGATCAAACGGTTACCAAGATACACATATGTGGTCATAAGTGGGCGGTGACACGCCCATTTTCCAAAACTTTGCCATAAACGCATTTTTTACTAAAGAATTATTAGAAACCTAAATTTTTAATAAATTAGCTTCCGTATTTACTGATTTATCGAAGATTTCATATTTCTCTAAAATACCGTTTTATTCGATGTGGGCGTGGTTATTGTCCTATTTTTCAAATTTTCAGCTGTTTGGTATGTTGTTGGCCACAACTGTGCCAAGTTTGGGAGAAATTGCTGGAGCGGCTACCAAGATATATACACATAAAATCATAAGTGGGCGTAGCAATTTCCAAAAATTTATAATATTCCTATTTTTCGTCTAAAAATTATTGTAAATAGCAATTTTGTGTGAATAAACCTCAGTACTTACTAAAAAATCGCAGTTTTCCTGTTTCTGAAAATTACCGTTATATGGGAGGTAGGCGTGGTTATTATCCAATTTCGCCCATTTTCATACCATCTCAATTTTTACTGGAGTTATCGTGTGCACAGACGGACGGAAGGACGGACAGACAGTCACCGCTTAATCCATTTGTTTTTTCATTCTGATCATTTATGTGTACATTTTCTAACTCGATTCGTTTTGCCTGTTACAAACAACTGTTGTGTGAAAAAAGTTATAATACCCTTGTGCACAAGTGCGCTCGGGTATAAAAAAGCAGAGGTATAATTTTTTTCCATATAGAACAATCCCAGGGTACCACCCTAATATATATACATGAATGCAACCTCTTTGGTGTAGGCGAATTGGTACACCATTTATTTATTCACCTATCTATCTTATCTATTTATCCTTCTTAAATACATACATACTTATGCAGTTCCCCAAGAAATAAATCCAATGCACTTGATGCGGTTAAAAAAAAAACAAGAAATTTAAGTGCTAACGGTTAATTATGAGAGCCCGTAAACACGGCGGGCTGGTTAGGTTTGTAGTCAGTCGGTCAACCATAAATTTTACAACAACAATTTTGTACAACAAATATGCTAATGCAAAACGCGTGCTGAAAATCATCTGTTATAATTTATTTGTCGACGCTACTTGATACAGAACAAGCCCCCCCCCCAGGCGATTGCATGCAGCTTTTGTATATAATGCAGGCACGTCTGTTTATTTACGTACACGCCGCACGCTTGCAAATGTTTGTGTGAATGTGTATTTACAAGATTTCCATAAATAAACAAGTGGCGGATGGCCGAAAAAGGCAATTTAAAAACTTCTCGCCTTACATGAATTCTCCTCCTGAGCCCCTTTCCCTTGCAAACGAACTCCCTACGCTTAGTGTTTGCATTTTCAAGTTATGGAGTATATGTATGTATTACAACGGGATCTGGAATGCGGAATTGCGAAGCATTGCGCTGCATGTGGCACAAGACGAACGCTACATACTGCACCCATATATCGATTGCAGATATATGTCATACACTCGTGCATGAACTGGCTTTATTTATACATACATACATATATTAGGGTGATCCCAACAAAATAAAGTCGATAAAGTCGGAATTTAAAACTTTCACCCCCCTAGGATTATTCTATATCGAAAAAGTATACCCCCTGATATCAAAATATATTCTTCAAAATACATAGGGAAACACATTTTTCTTAGAAATGGTAAAGAATCAAACAATAATACCCAATTCTTTATTTTTTATTTTTAAATATTAATCCTCCAAAAACTGCAAACATGCAATGGGGGGTCTCATAAAAAATCGTTAATATCAAAAAATGGGTTAATAAACAATTAAGTATTATTCCTTGAAGTATCCTGAAGAGGTGCCGACTTTTCCGATCTAAAAATATTGATTTTCAACTATTCTATAACATTTATAGGAAAAACTTGTTTCCCATAAAAAATACATGGAAAACTTTGAGCCCTCTGAGCCACCTGTAAATATTTTTTCATTTTAAATTAAAAAAAAAACAAGGCTATGTTCTTTCCGATATAAAAGAATCCTTGGGGGTGAGATCATTAAAATTCCCACAACTTTTTGTCGCATGAATTTTCGTACCACCCTAATGCGCATAGTATAAGAAGCAATTCAAAGTGCTTGCAATTGGCGTATAAAGACGCCAAATAGACTTTTGTAATAAAGAAGCATTTTCGCTGCTACAGTTTGAATGCCACTGTTTAGCAAACAAATTAATAGAGTACTTACGCTAATCTCCTCAAGGCGGCGCTCTAGTGCCTCAATAGATTTCTTATCGTATGGCTTCTCAATTAGATCGTTTATGCGTTTGAGACCTTTCGTGACGAGTTCTTCTAGATCGATGTTAAGCTTTTCAAGTGTAGAACGTGGACTGGGCGTATTGTTGTCATCGGTGTGTTGCGGCAAGCCAGGTACTTTGGATCTAAAAGCAAAAATTTTATTAAATGACATTTCTAAAAACACAGAGACTGAATTGTTGAGTTTACAAGCAGTGATCGGGGATCTACCACATTGTGGTAGATCTGCCACTTTTTTGAGCACCTACCACATCTACCACACAAGGTCTGAAATCTACCACATATTCGCGTTTTTGAGTAGTTTTATTTTTGCTCGACATAATTTTCTTAATTTTAAGAGCAAAAATTGTCCAACACTAAACACTAATAACAGGCAGAATGGGAGGATAAAATAAACTATAAAATAGTAAATTTTCTCAACATTGAATTTTTCAATAGGAAACGTGGTTTTATTGCGTTAAATTGCAAAATATATGATTTATAAAAAGAATTAATAGCGAAAATTAAAAAAAACGGCGATTTTTGTGTGCATCTAGAGTTTCGAAAGCGTTGTTTACTTTTACTTGAGAATTGTCAAAATCGGCAAATCGCAAGTAGCGGTTTCTGGAACGTGCCACATTTATTCGCTACATCGTCGTGTGATAAAAAGAAAAGCTGGCAGCACTCCGCAAGGTTGCAGAAATTTTTCAAAATGTGTTCGAAAAATATCTTGATATGGAAGGAACTGCTTTACACTGTCAAGGAAAACTCCAAAACTAAACTCAACGCAATATTTATCATCTTCAATCTTGCACTTTATTATACTAAAATTAATTCTTTTAGTTTCTAATTAAAATGTTTGCAATTTAGGTGAAACTTTGCAGAATTTTTTTCATTTTTGTACAAAGTTTGATCCAAAACCTGAGATCTACCACATTTTTTTGAAATCTACCACATTTTTTCCAGATTCTACCACACTTTTTTTTTTTTAAGTCCGACCACTGTTTACAAGTGACTTTAGTTTTCTGAAATGTTTCCACAAAATTTAAAAAATCTTATTTTCATACTGTTTTTATTTGGCTATAGTTGGCTTTAATTTGCTTCTGTACAGATGGACGAACGCTCGCCGAAAACTTGGATTGCAGGGTAGAGGATTCTTCTGCTCTAATCTACCATTGTCCGATGGGAATTCATGTGGGATGGCTCACTATCACCACGAAGCCCTTCTGCAGCTACTGTAGGAAGGATGACGGGGTGGTACTCAACCGGCTCAGGTTCGCGAGCTTTAGATCTCAACAACTTGGACCTCACTGCTTTCTCGATTCCAAGGACTTTTCGAGGATTGAGACTAACTCTACTTGCCCCGTTCAACCACTCCCTCATTTTTTTGTCTCTGTTTCTTCTCACTTTCTTAATGGTAGCATAAAAGGCAATTGGAAATCTGCTTTTTAAAATTTCTCCAAAAATTTACGAAAAGAATCGGCTAACTCAAAGTTCTAATACTATTTTCAAGGCAATAATATAACAACTTAATCCTTTTTATTATGAAAATTTAATCAGTTTGCTCAATCAGTAATTTTCTTGGATATTTCTAAGGCCAATCTGGGACCAACAAATTCATTACTTACTTGGCTTGCTGCACTTCACGAAATTTCTCTCGTAATATGATCTGTGTTTTCATAACTAAACGTGATAGATTTCCCTGTTTGCCGTGAGTCTCTAGCACCAAAGAATCGCCTTGAGAAATCAAGGTGGCGGCATCGGGCGCAATCAAAAGTTTTAAGTCCTCAATGGCGCTGCGGAGGGGCATAATTGAAAATGTATTATATTTTAGAAAAAGCCTGAGATCGCTTACCTTTCGCCTTCTTCGCACTTTTGGATCTTCTCCTTCGTCGCCTCCATCTTTCGTATCATGTACTTAGCCATTTTATCGAACGTTTGGACGCGTTGATCCAGCGGTTCACTATCGCGGAAGATCAAAGGACTCTCTGAGTAAGGACTCTTTAAGGTAATGTTCGAATCATCCATTGACGTAGCTGAGGGGAGGACTTTGCTATCTAAGAAGTTGGGTTTTTTAGTGCCGGGCGTCTCAATGCGACTCTGCAGGAGAGCAAATGTAATTCAGTTAGCTTATTCAGGAGATATTTATTTATCTACATTCTCAATTAAAACTACACTTAAAAACTAATCCTGAAAGCCAATCGTAATAAGCCTCTTATTTGTATGTTTAAAATGTGAGTATATCTTTACCGTATCACTATCGGAATCAAATGTTGGTGTCATTTCTAATGAGAATCTCGGTATGTCTTCATCGTCGGAGAATACCAATGGTTCCAAGTCGTAACTTGCATCTTTATCGGCACCATAAAAACTGTCGCGTACTGGAGACTCCACTGCACATGGCTGCTCTGTTCCATCACGAGACTTGGCTTTTTTAGGTGACAGCCCATCGTCCAACGTGAGTGTAAGTTGACGCCAACGCTTTGGTTGTTTTGGTGGCGTATGCGTTGCACTTGAAGCTTCATCTCCTTTCGCCGGTAGCTCATCTTCATCCTCCTCTGAGTCACGTAATATATCACGCTCACTTTCGATACGCTTACGTTTCTCATCGAATGAAATACGCTGCTTCTCCACCCGCAAGAAAGGTGTGCTTGCATTGAGTGGCTGTGTATTACGCAACTCCACGTCATCTGGTGAGAGCGGTGAGTGTGGCGGTTGCGGTTTAGGCGATTCGCAGAGCGAGCGTTTACTTTTGCTACGCTGCATCTCTTTGCCATCGGCATCAATGCGCATCGATGAGTCTGAATCTTCAGAGAGATCGACAATTTGCACCGTTTCCACGTATTCCGGCACGAATGGTTCCACACTCTCCAAAATATTCACCGTGTCGACAATCTCACCAACTTGCGGCTCAAAATCAATATTTTGCACAGACATTTTATCATGTGGCAAATTACGCTCGCGTATCTCCACCACCCTGGCGTGCTGTTCGCCCTTGCGACTTCTGCGTTTAGGTGGTTTTGCGGGTACGCTCTCTGTAGTTTCAATTGGCGTTGAGGTGGATATGTGCGAAAATAGAGTGCTAGATTCAGCTAGACGGAAGGTTTGTGGTGGCAGAACATCGGGTAGCACTTGAGTGACAATGGCTTGATCGGCTGTGGTTGAAGGCGAATCATTTGGTTGCTGCACTTCCACTGGTGTCTGACTTGTCTGGGATTTATCGGGCTTTGTTGGTGTGTCGCCAACGTTCTGTGAGTCATTTCCACCTGGTGTGCGTGCACGTCTTTGACGCACAGTATCGCTAACAACAACTATTTCTACATCGGTATCGCCGTTTTCAACAGTTTGCGGTGTTGGTGCAGTTTTAGTCAAAGTTGGTGTCGCAAGGAGCTTTGTCAACTCGGAATTTTCATTAAAACGCGTTTTTATAGCGTCCTGTGACGAATAATAATGTGGTTTTGTAAAATCAAGTCAAAATCGAAACTCTCCAAAAAGTCTCCAAACTGTGGAGACTTTTATTTTTAGACGGAAATTCACTTTAGAGCACAAGGTGTAGCTTTAAAATTAATTTAGTATGATTTGCATGGTTTCAAAAGAAATAACTGACGTTTTAGACCCCGAGTGACATATTATTGAGAATATCGATACGATATTCATACATACATACATATGCGATGAACTTTTTTTTATAAATTAATCTGGTTTTTTTATTATTACCAGTTAATGAATGCTTAAAACAATTATTATGTTAAAGGATTTTGCATGGGACGATTACATTAAGATTTTTATGCGTCATTAATTTTCCACGGCCGAAAGCTATGAACAATTATGATTCAATTTGGCACCCATCCCACAATAAAGTCTACATAAAGTTCAGTACTTTCATATTAAAAGTGAATATACAGAGAATCATTAAACTTATTATAGTACACTAAGATGACACCAACAAATGTTTCCATTTCAGCTAGATGGTGATACGGTGATTGGCTTTGAGGATGAAGGTGGTTTTATTATTATTATAATTTTTTTTTTTTATTAGGCATGATTTGAAGAGTTAATTTGCCATGGAATGAATTAGTGCATTTTAATTAAACGTTGCGGGTGTTTAATGGGATTTGCTGTGTGAACTAGAGGCATACATATGTACATATATACAAACGTGAGTATAAATAAATACAAAATTATAAAAAATATGTTTTAGGCAGATGAGTATTTTATGACTACCTATACATACAAGTACTTATGTAAGTGGATAGTGTTGATTTTTTATTGGATGCATGAAATTACTTAAATTCATTCATATTATTTTTTAGTTAGTGGTTGACATGAAAAAATTTTAAACTACAGTTTTAAAACTTTTTAGATTTACATATACATAGTTAAGAAAAAAAAAAAGTCGCCAAGTCCCACAAGGTGAAACGATACCAACGCTCGACTAGGTTTCAACAGTGATGAAGTTCGAATAGGTCCAAGAGGGGAAAGCAGCAAACATAGTCAGCCGCGTCAAACCATCTGTTATCATTCTTTCTCCTGATAATGAGGAGGGTTGGAACTTGAATATTTACGATCATAAGGGCTTCCACAAAGTGTATAGGAAGAACCACTTTGGAACTTAGCAAGCTGATAAATCGAGATATTATCCCAAATAACCCATGTGATGTCCACGGAATAAGAAACAAAACCTGTCGTAAATTTTCGTTACGGACCTTTACGCAGTACCTCCTGAAGGCATTCAAATATATTTTTTTCCACATGCGCTTCAGTTGTGGTTTCGAATTAGCTCAGCATTCAACACTTGTCTTCGTTTCGATATGAAGTCTTAAAATGAAGAGACATTAATCAGTGTCGTATCTTCTCTTAATAGTCTTAGCTTTTATGTCTCGAAACTCTATCCGCTACCAGAAAACATTCCCTGATCTTATAATTTCATGAATTTCGGAGCCGAGTATTGACAACGGTGGCTTGTGCTTTGGAGCTTCTTAATTGCACGGCATTTTAGTTTCTCGTTAAAATACCAATGGGAGTTGGACGAAAAGACTTTAGCTGGTCGATGATACAACAATACTAGCCGAAAATAAGAAAAAGACTTTGGTCATAGGCCAAGAATGTTGTTGACAACATAATATGCGATTGGCCGTTTGTATATATGTTACCGGCGAAACCCGATCTATGGACAAACTAGCAATCCAATGGCATGCCCAGGTTAAGGGTAATGTGTTCTGTAAACTAGAGGGTATGTGGTAAATTTCGAAAAGTGCTTACCAATGGAGGTTCACCACATACCGTCTAGTTTACAGAACAACGCGTTCTTTAACCGGAGCATGTCATTGGAGGTAAGCGAGAAAGTTTAAAAAGAAAGTGAAAATTTTTGTCTTGAGGCGTATTGTAATGCGTTACTCCATGGATACAAAAAGTAAGCGCTAAGAAAGTTAAACTATGGTTTCTAAGGCTTTGCTAAACATGGAAGTTAGCGCTCCGGCGATAGGAATGCCTGCGGTTATTTGAACCTTTGTGAGTTTAAATTAAGTGAGGGGCTTATCCAGTGGCGTCAAAGAATAAGATAGAACATATGACTGCTGACTACACTCAGTGCATTCGATGAGTTTTAAGGTCTCATTTCTGGCCTATGTCCGTTTTGCCGGTTTAGAGCGCAGTAACGGCTTCTCCGGCTCATTTCTTAAACGTTGCGCTGACCCAAGTGTTTGATTTCTTTTGGGAGCAGGAAACAGTGCTACACAGTTTAGTGTTGGAAGTTGATATGAGAGGTTTTTAGTTTTCCTCGTAAAGATGAGAGTACCCAGAACTATAAGCAGAGAAATTGTGTTCACCGTTCCATTCCAAAGGAGTGGGAAGTGTATTTACTCTTATGGAGTGTCTTTTGCCGCATACTTGGTCATATGAGCTTCACCTAGAACTGCAAGAATTGTACTCCGATTTGAGAGCAGGCTAGAGTAGTTATCTAGGGCAATATTAAGGTTTAGTTCCTTAAAAGACAAAGCTATTTCGATCTTAATCAGGTTAACCGTTCCATATGAAGACCGCCGTGGCAAATGTCCGCTGGTACCAAGTTTACTCGGAATCACAACAGATTCTACAATAATCATACACAGCTTAGAATTGGGTTTATGGGAAATTAGCGCTTTGATAGCTTTGTTGATTTCGTCAAAAGATAAATTCTAAATTTGTTTGCCAATTAAATTACAATTTAATCACAATTGAATTACTTGTTATATGGCCTTAGAAAGATAAATGAAAGCATTTGGCTGGGCATTAGGCTGGTACAAAAAGCATGCGAGGAAATAAGTTTAAAATGCAAAGCTCCCACCCCTAGGATTTTTCTAAATGAAAAAAAGAATACCCGTGTTTTTTATTTAAAAAAGTTATATTTAGAACTGCTTCAAAGACCATAGAGTTTTCCATGTATTTTATATGGTGAAAAACGCATTTTCGTAGAATCGGTATAGAATTCTTGAAAATTAATATTTTTCGGTCGAAGACCCAGGAGTTTTTCAATAACAATACTGAATTGTTTATTTAACCATTTTTAATGTTAACTGATCACCCAAAAAAATGTAGTGGGGAATCCATAAAAACAGTTGGTCTTTAAAAATAATGATATAAACAATTGGGTATTACTTTTTGAAATCTGCTGAAGAGAAACAGAGTTTTCCGTTGGAAAATAGTGGTTTTCCATATAAAATACATGGGTTCATGAGTTTTTAGGCAATTCTAAAATCATTTTTCTTTTTACATAAAAACACGGGTATCCTTTCTTCCGTTTATAAAAATCCTTAGGGGTGAGAGCTTAACAGTTTAAAAAATTTTTTGAACCACCCTACTGGGCATACTTGTAGCTGTAAAAAGTTAAACGAAATATGTGAAAAAATACACACTGAGGCAACAAACAGGAACGACTTTAAATCGAAAAAGAAAGCTACAAACACTACGAGTATATATTAATAGCAGCAAAATACATCAAATTAAGCACTAGAAAAGCGGAAGTGACTGTGAGAAAATAAANCATATACATCAAATTAAGCACTAGAAAAGCGGAAGTGACTGTGAGAAAATAAATAAATAAAGGAAAGACATCTAATGAATAAGTGAATTGCTCTGTAATTTCCAATGAAATGAAGTGGAAAAGTACAAATGAAATGAACGAAAGCACGCACGCTATGAGCGCAATTACAAGGACAGAGATACAAATATATGTACACAGAAAGCATAGAATTCGCGAAAGGATGAGCAAAATCTAGATTAAAGGCAAATATACCTACATACATACATATATATAGAAGCTACTTATAATAATGGCTGTAATCTAAGAGAGAGTAAGTGAGTGCGAGTGTATGTGTGAGTAAATATAAATAGAAAAGCGTGATTGGTTATTTGCGAGCATTTGTAATTACAAGTAAGTATTATTAATTACTTACCACCACAATGGCGATTACTTGTTGCTGCAGCTTCTCGATATCCGGATTTGAAGGCGTATTTATCTGTTTCAACTCATGTTCCATGGCTCTGTGCGCAAAATAAGAGTAAAAAAATTAAATTAAATTTTAGGCTTAAAATATTCGCAAAAAAAAATGTGCACCCAAAACTAACTTCAATGTCTCTGCCGATATGTTATCCAAATTCTGCAAAGTCGACTTCATTTCTGTTAAGCGTTTAATAACATCGGCGCTAGTCAATTTCATGTAGATCGTCTTGAGTTCATCAATCTTCTGTCGCGTATCCTCCATGCATGATTGATCACAGGATTTGCTATATTCCTCATATAATTCCTCACAACGTTGCAGCAGATCTTCGTATTCCAAGAAACAAGAATTGCGATCTTGCTTCTCTTGTAGCGATTCGAAGCGTCTTATAAGCTGATCAGCAAGATCGAAGTATTCATCCAATTGGTGGGCCAATTTGAGTAGCGTCTCGAGGAACACTTTCGATTGTGTGACATTCTCGCCAAGCGCATTATAGAGATGTTTAAGTGCGTCGATGCGTTGACTGAGTTGTTTGGGCGAGCGCGTAAATTTATCTTCGCACACTTTGCGACCCGTTTTGATAGTGCTCTCGATCTCTGGTTTAATTTCGGATAGTGTGCGATAGATTTGCTGGTGAATGAAGATGAAATATGTTAAAAGAGATATTTATTTATGCGAACTTGAAATTCAAAAAAAAAATATACATTAAAACTCCAGAACGCGATCTCGATCAGACAAAGAGCAATACATTTTGATGCATCTATAGTCGAACCGTTTATCAGAATGAATTCTGTTACCAGGGCCTTTTTTAATTTATATGCAAAAGATCTTGCAAGTCTTAGTCACCCTCGTTCTAGTACAACTAACTACTCTCTGACTCAGAACTACTGTGGAACGGTTGGAACCCAGTGGACGTACCTAGTCTTGTCTACCCTTTTCCTTCAATTGTGGAAGTAAAGGATTTTATGAGAGAAGGCGCTGTCAGATGAATATCTATACTGACGAATTTATGTTAAAGGGAAGATTTAATTTAAGCACAGGACCATTTGTCAAAACCAGGACAAATCCTGGCACAGCTGTATTTTATGTCGCTTCATTGGACTGCACACTTTCTAAAAAATTAGCTTATTTCGAAAGACTGCCGCTGCCAATGCCCCTGTGGTGTTGCATTTTGGGCTTTATGTGAAAAATTCATATACGGGGACAAGAGATCACAAACGGTATTTTCTTCCATTGCGGTAAATGCTCAAAGAAACTTACCACACATTTCTGATACTGCGCCTGTACGGTGGTGGGCCCAGCAGACGCTACATCCAAAACCAATGTCGAATGTTCGACCGCACGCAACTCAGCCACAGCGCGATTCAAGCGTGACTCATACGCCGGTTGTGGGGCTGTACACTTATTCAGCTTCAGTTGACACGACTTGAAGCGCAACTCCATTAGGTTCAACTTCTCCTGTAAACGATTGGCTGCCTCAATTTTGCCATTGCGTGTGTGTTCAGCTATGAGTTCGTCAATTTCTTGGAAGCACTGCTTGTTCGATTCGAATTCTTTTACTAAGCGCTGTAAAAATAAAAGATTACATATTAGAACCCGTATAAATTTCTCTCTATCCCTACCCCTACAAAAACTACCTGAAAATCATCCGGCAGATCCTCAATGGTCACATCATTCTCCAGATGTTCGGTGAGTATCTCATCGACGCGCGTCAGCCACGCCTCGAATTGCACCATGCATTTCTCGGATTGTTCAGCCTCGCTCACCTCCTTCTCCAGTATTTCGGTGCGTTGTTTGGCACGCTGTTGCAGCTTAGTCCAACGTTCCACAATACCATCGATTTCGGCGCGTATCGAATCCGCCATAAATTCATTTTCAATTAGCTCGTTGCCAATTTCTTGAATTTTCTCCACCCACTCGTCGGAGTGCGCACGCAGCACGTTTTCGAGATCCTGTAAATTTAGTTAATTAGCAGAGTTAAACACTTTTTAATTGACTCAACAAAATACTTACATCCAATTCCTCAATGATCTCCTCAGCGTCCGCGTTCTCCGGCGTGCTGCCAATCTTATTCTCCAGTCGATCCAGATAACCCGATTCGGAGACCATAAACTTCTTGAACTCACCCAGCTGCGTAGAGATATGCTCGAGCAGCGCTGTTTTCGCATACACCAGCGAAGTGACCTCCGTCCAGCGCGCGCTCAACCGCGTAAACTTCTTCGGCAGCTGCGCATATTTGCTGTCCACTTCTTCGCCCGTTGTTTTCAATTCGTCCATTTGCAGCAGCAGCTCGCCGCCAACTTCGTTCAACTCGCGGAAGCTCACCGACTCACGTTCGCAGGTTTCCTTGAGTGTTTGGAACTTACTTTTGATTTGGAAGAGCTCATTTGAATTGTTAATCTCAGAGATCTTCGT